TTTTTTTTTTTTGTTCCCTCAAATTATCACTTAAATTATCAAATTACACAAAACTGCAGATTTAACATCAGTCAGTTGATCATCGGGAGTAGTATAACTGATTGGCCTTTTTTGATTTTCTTCGTGAAGTTTCCAAAAAACCAAAAAACGATGTTAGCGTATACAACAAGTTTCTTTTTACCACAGATTTCCCCGAATTCCGATTGTTTGAGAAGTCACAAAAAAAGTTCAAATGAAAATTGTAACGGTGGCGGAATAACAGATAACGGGAATCCAATTAACTTTGACGCGCAAAACGTCGCAGCTTTACGGCTAAAACCGTCGTCGTTGTCGTCGTCGTCATTAGTACCGCTGTTCTGTCGGGGCCAACTATGACTCCGACCGGGATATCTGTATCTTTGTGCTTACATATCTGTGACCGTCTGTCGTCTGCGCATTTCTGCTTACCCTTTCTTTGTCTGTTCGTGTATTTCTTTTTTCTCTTCTTCGGGGCAGAATACGACAGAGAGCACTAACAGAGGGTCTGTGTCCAGATGGTTCATATAGCAAATCCATTGGTGCTTATTCATTTTCGTAGTTTATCGGAAAATGCTCATCAGTTAGCATTTCCATAGTTGCCGGTCGGGTTATATGGATGAATGGGATCGTTGTTGTGATTGGGATGGTTGTCGAATCATTTCGAAAACATTTGTATTTTTTTCGGCTTCTTATTTAGCTTTTTCATTATAGCTTATTCTTCACTGCACTTTTTATTTTTACATTTTCGCTTTGTATCCTTTGGCAACAATGCAGTTTTGAAGCCATCAAAATTGACCAACATTTTTGACCATCACTCGTTCTGTGTTGTTTATCACTTGCCAAAGTTTTTTCTTTTTTTTTTTTTGTTTTTCCACTGACTCCAACTGATAGATTAGACAGTGTGTTTATTTTGTTTAGGACAATAGATAATGGTGGTAGCAAAATCCTGTTCATCATTTTTTCTGCCTTTTTTTTTTATTTAACACAGAATGTTTGTTTATGTTTTTTCTTCAAAAAAATTAATTTATTTATTTAACTATTTTATCCTCACAAATTTTTATTTCTACATTTTGGTCCAGGAGAATCTTTTGTTCC